CGCAGCAAGGGGACGCGGCTGGGCACGTGCCACTGCGTCGGGACCCACGGGTGGCCGGCAGGGAACGCCAGTGACCCCACAACCCACAGCTCGCCACCAGCACGTGGCTTGGTCCCCCGGGGAAGGAGCAGCCGTCTCCACCCCAACCGCCCCGTCCTCGTGAGAAAGGGTGTCGGAGTGCCCGTCTGCCTGGAGGCTGCTTGTGCCTGAATAACACTGTTTTGCAATAAAATAATTTATTAAACAACGCCTTTACTTTTCTCCCCTACCAAAGTCCAAGAGAGTCTGATATTGTCGTGAAAGACCAGGCTCCAAATCCACAGACCTAGAGATTTATTTTAACAACGCTAAAGAAGTTTGGATGCATTTATGCCCACCTCTTTCTGCAGGAAATCTGACATCTCAGGAAGTGCACATTGGCTGGACAGGCCCTTGCTAATCCCCCACAGCCAGCGAGGAGGAATTGTCCCATACCCCACTCCTGATTAACACGCTTTATATCAAGATGTCACAGAGCTGTAAGGATTTGTGCCAACCGGTGTCTTGCCTCGGCAGATCCAGGATTACCCACAGAGCAGATAAAAAGACTCTGAAATTATCTGGACGAAAATCTGCAAATTCGACATTCATGAATCACTTGTAATATTATAACTAGAGATCCAAGCTCAGCGGACCCGGTGGCTCGAGCCGTGCAGCAGGGGCGCCTTGCGGAGCTCACAGGCAGGAGATCATTATAAGCGCGACTGCAAACTCCAGAGCCGCTCATGATGCATCTCTCCTGGACTGTGAGAGATGCAGTTTAGACAGGGATGGTGATCTAAAGAAAGGAACAGGGACATTAGCTTCCCAAACTCACATCAGGCAGCGAGCTGGAGTCGCGCTGCACACTCGGGAAGGCTATTAGCTAGCTGGTGTAAGCATCCTTGGCCACTCGGTCTGGAATATTGTTTTGTTTCCTTCTTCCCTCTGCAACTCTGACCTGAAATTGGGTAAAATTTACAATGCCAAAACCGTAGCTTTATCATGTGGGAACTATGGTTATCACTGCAGTCTGAGGACCTTGATTTTCCTGATTATTTTCTACCATCCCTGCTCAACAAATCAGCTTAGAAAATATTCGTCTCTTTAACCTTTTTCTCAGCTTCTCTGACAATAGCTGCTAACTTTCAAGCCTGCACTCTTCTTGTCGTTATTCTCTAAACATACTGACAACCATGCAGGCAGGTTCCTACCTATTTCTCTCAAAAAAACCAACTTTCGGTTCGGCAGCCTGCCTTTGCAGCCATCCCTGTCCTAGGGCAGTGCCGGAGACTCCCCAAAGTCCCTTCACCCTGAGGACAGCATTCCCAGACACCTTCTGTTTGGTTTCTCCCTTAACGCTTACACAGGCCGTTAGAGCCCTGTTCCCTGCCTGATTAAAGGGCATCGCTTGTATAGAGCGACAACCTGTAAGAGGGAGATGGGCCACTTACCATTTGAGGAAAAACTTAGCTTTTCCGCTAGGACTTCAGCCCAGACCTGTTTCCAGGTTCAGAGCAGCACGTGCCCACGGGGAGCAGCAGCACGGCCCCCACAGCCGCCTCGTCTGCGGGAGCCGTGAAAGCCGAGGGAGAGGGGACGGGAGCCGCAAGGGACCCGCACCGCGGACGACGTCCTCCGCACCATCCCGAATACAGCGGTTTGCGTAAAGCAGCCTCGCCAACCGCGCGGGCGAAGATCTAGGGCCCAGCTCAGCGCTGGTGTGAGCGGCGACTGCTGATACCTCGCCTGCGCCTCACCAGGTCTGGATGTGTCCCTCTGGGTCCGCTGTCTAAATACGCGTGCAGGGACCGCAGTGGAAAATATCCATGGAAGCAGCTCCCCAGACACCCGCGGGGAGAGGCAGGGCAGGAGCAGGTTGCATAAGGAAACTTCTGTCACGCAGCATTAGGGACAAGCACTTGACGTGAGCTTTCCCCATGTAAACGGATGTGGTTTAGACTGCATAGCTAAGTTTGCCTCTGCTCTAGTTTTGAATCCAAAAAACAGGTTTTCCTACCTCGCGTCTAAAAACCCCTGTCCATGTGAGTGTTCAGCCAAATCCAGCTAGATGGCAATGCAGAGCCAAAGTTTTGGGACTGCAGACAGCCCAGCCAGGAGCACCCTTAAGCAGGTGCTTAACTCCGGAGGACGTGTTTCCACTGCAGTCCGGTGAACCGCTACCCGGCTGGCGCCGAGCCTCTGCCTAGCTGCTTGGGTGCCCATAGATCAGGGCCACAACGAACCGTCCCACACAGCGCAAAGGGATGGCACGAGTGACCAGCATCAACGAACAGGAGCCCTCGACATTTAACTGATTTCCTTCAAAAAATACACCAGAAACAAGAGTGCTAAACCCACTGACTATCATGGGACTTGCAAGGCAGACATGCAGCTTGTCTTTGGAAGTCCCCTTTAGAGCTACTTCTCATTTTCTGTGGGTATTTTACTTGCAATAAGCAGCTTTCATGACAATGGATTGGACCAAATTTATTTCTGGGATAACTCCTCCGACAAGCTCTGCCTCCAACTCATTCTCTTGAACTTATTTGCATTGTTATCTTATGCACAACAGAGACAGCATGTGCACTTATCAGAAATGTAATCTCTGTAAAAGCCTATCTGCAGTCCATTGAGGTTGTTTTTTGCTAAAGAAATGTGACAAAAAATTAACAGATGTTGTTCAGACCATTCAACGGGATGGGAATCAATTATGAATGTTTGTGCTCCTGCACCCATCCCTTACTGCAAGAACCATCTTAGGAAACCCTCTCCTGATCAAAATGAAAAAGCATTTCTTTGTAATAGAAGAATAATAACTGATAGCTATCAGCCTGCATTCTCTGACACAGCGCTGGTCCTCAGAGAATTAAACTGCCACTGTACAGTTCTATAAATGTTTAATTTTTTTCATCTTTGGCCACAGTAGAGTTGTCTGGAAATGCATTATCACGGGGGATGCCATCCCTCTCCAATTAGTGCAGCTGGCAGCGTGGAATGGGTAGGTGACCTCTGCGTTCCCCTACTTACAGAGTCTTACAGGGTTAACTATGGCCATTTAACAGACTCTATCGAGAATTAATACAGCGATCAGCTTCCCTACAGAAAAAAAAAAAAACCCATTCGGTGGCGCAGATGGCAAGAACTCTCTCTCCCCCATTTGACTCTTTTATGACAGCAAAACAAAGGCTTTTAATGATGTTTACCATGAATTGAATTAAACAGCTGAAGACCAGTTCATAATCACAGCATTTTGTTTTCATATCCTTAAGTCTTTTAGCAGTGGGGCTTCCATTCGAGCCTCAGCTACAGCTTATCTCAAGATATAGCCAAGCGCCCCGAGGCTTCCCTGTGCTGGAGCACCAAACCGCATTCATACTTCTTAATTGAAAAAGACAGGATGTTTGCATAGGACGTTTGCATCAGTAAGACACGTTCATGCCCAAGTACAAATGACGGCTTGGGCTCAGCTGAACTCCTCTGACTCTTTTCCTCTAGCTAATACTAGTTGGGTTTTAGATTAGGACTTCATTTTCCAACTGCGCACATGGGGGTGTGTAACAGATGAGACCGTGCAGCACGTTCAGGGGAAAAGACACAAATACCTCGCCCGCCGGACTGAGCTAATCTCTTCTGGGAAGTGTGACTAACTGCGTACGAGCTCAGCTGACCTTTAGCAAAAGTTGTCTGCATGACGTCGGCTTGCGAGCTCCTAAGGGCGCCGAGCAGGCACGGCCCACAGCGAAGCCAAGCAAGCGCGCGCGAGAAGGGTGCGTGATCTGTGATGAGAGCAGGCGAGCCTGAAGGAACAAGTGCCAGACTTGCAGCTGGTAATTCCTGCTCTAATCCCAACTCCGCCACCAACTCGCTGTCACACAGATGCTCAGGGTCTCGGGTTTGCCGTCTGTGAAAGAGAGGATAATCCTAACCGCTTACTTACCTGACAGGCGTGGCGTGAAGATTAATTTCTATCTATACAGCACTCTGCAGATGTAAAGCATTACACCCTGCAAGCGCTAAGTACCCTTATCGCACACCTACGCGAGAGAGCATGAGAGCCGTCTGGATCCGGCGAGTACCTGTTACCACGGGCGGGAAGCGCGGCCGCTCGGCACGGCTTACCTGGCTCGGGCACCTGGGAGCCCATGGAGGGGACGCTGGTGTTGAGCACGTCGTTGACGGCCGTGTCGCAGTAGAGGCCCCGCTGCACGTCGTGCTCGCTGTCAGTCTGGTCGCTCTCCTCGTGGCCGCTATCCTTCAGACTGTTCCCCTCCAAGTCCTTGAACGTGGAGCTGCTGGGTTAAAGACAGAGCAATGACTTACTGTCATGTCAGCACGGATCAGATAACGTTTCCCTTGGCCCGGGTGGCTGTCACAACCCCGGAGCAAGACCTGCGCTGGCTGTGCTGCGCTGGACGGAGAGTCTCCTTAATAGGTAGTCACAGCCCCATGCCGCAAAGGGCCATCTCCACCACGAAGCAACAGCCTTAACACATGTTTCAGCCAGCAACTGCAAGGAGCCGCTCTCACGCGCTCCCTGCGGGTGCGAAACGGGGCTCCTCGCAACAGAGTAGGCCAGCAAGACGACAAGCAGAAGTAGCGCAAAGCTGCAGCCGACTAGAGGCACGACCGGGGACCAAGGCTGCCTTCCACCCGAGGAACGTAACGGGAAGAGACACACTACGACAACAGCTCAACCTCTGCGACTCCGCGCATCAGGAGCCGCTCGAGCCCG